GCCTTATTTAGTTACTTAAATATTTATAACAAAAGAATAATGTAACAAACAACAATGGCAAAATAAAGCACATGATGCACGTGCAATGTTTAAATTTAAAGCCACTCCTTTAACTGGCAAGCCTGTCAATCATGTTATAAGTAATTTATAGAACTTTTCATTGGTTTACCGCCTCATTGGTTGATTATTGACATTGATTATTCATCTATATTTGACATTCAATGCCAATATAACAATTTTATCATCTGATTTTTCAATGTCAATTCTATACAATTATCCATTGCACTTTTCCACTTTTTGGTCAGAATTAAAGGGGCTCGGAATGTGAAAATCCTGGAGAAGCTCTGAATCGGAAATATAGCTCTATGGAATTTTTTTGCTTAAGTCAAATAAGATCTTCTTTTAGGAGAGTCCAAAAAGCTAATATATTTTAAAATAAAATCGAACTTACAAATTTCATTGTATCAATTTTGGTGGTTCAACTACAACAGGGACTGTTTGAGTCAAGTCCAGACCCCCCCCCCCCCCCCCACACCCGCCACTCTCAACCCATGGAAAAAATATGTGGGAGAGGATACATTAAAAACAATTCCCGGGGGAGGGTCGCATCACGCTCAAGTCCACGGGGCCCCACCTATCTTATTGAGCCACTAGTTAATTTGTACATTACCCTGTGATGTACCAAATGTTATGTGAATGATTATAGTAAATAAAAAATACAAACTTTAAAGCTCGATACATACAAAAACATTTTTCAATAAAATTCCAAAAATATCTTTGAAAAAATTAAAATATACATGTTAAATATATATATATATATAGTAACATAAATAATAGCATGATATTAGAAAAATATCATAAAATAAATGACTATGTTTAAAGTGACATGTGGGCCATTTTGGGGGGTTGTTTTTAGTTGTTTTGAATACATAAATAGTCTTCAGGAGTACTTGAAATGTACGAAAATCGCATAATTCCTTCAAAAATATCTCAAACTAGGAATTTCTTTTCCTATTTCTATATATTTATTTTCTGTTCATCTAAAACGGATAAATATGGGCATACATGGATTTGAAGGCTCAAATTTCGACGGTTAACTGATTGGCTTAGCTACTAAATCCCCATTTCTGATTGGTCAAAAAAAAAGTGGCGCATCGGTCCCTTTAATATATGAGTAAAAAAATAATATTACAATTCGGATAAATGACCGAATTTACCAAAATGATTTATCATAAATAAATATAAGTTTTGAGGAAAAAAATGACTATAAATTAGCATAAGTTCTTCTGGCTTTAACAAAATCAGATACAACTTGATGAAGATTGATGTAGTCCTCCTAAAAATAGAGTTAAATCATATTCATTTTTATCAATAAATGAGAGAGCAGATTAATTTGTGAAAAGTGATAAAGGGTGATCCCCATTTTGTTTCATCTAAGGCATTCAGTATCTGTATTTCATTGAAATCCTCTACAAGCTTATATGTTAGAAATCAGAATTGGTATAGTATAACAATTTCATCAGATCATGAGTGGCATGTAGAGTCACCCACAGAAAACATACAAAACGAAACATACTGATATGTATTTTATGAAGATGTATATATGTTTTATTATTCGTAGGCAACATTTAGAGGTATACAGATCATTTTAAATAACAGGACGTAAATTTCACCTGGTGATGAAAATGTAAATTTTTGAAACGTTATTATACAATACAAAATCAACTTAGGAGTAGTATACATTAAAGTACATTTGTACATGTTTCAAATGATCGGTCCGGAACACTGATAAACATATAGGTCCGTAGCAAGACTTGGTTGTTCGCTGAAGCAAGTAATATAATCTGATAGACAATGGTTGCAGTAATGGAATTGGTTGGTTGTCATCCTGTAGTCACTGGTTGTAAACATTTTTAGAAAGAAAATATTGTACCTGTGATTTGATGGTTAGTCCAATTTGACTATGGATTTTCCGGACAACATTAAATATTTCAACTTCATCGTCTAATCTTATACGTTGAAAAATATTCATTAATATACAAAATACTCGAGCGTAATACGTATCACTGAAAAAGAAAAACAATATCACTGAGAATATTCCAAATAAATTTTTATGACTTTTTACATGTATTGGGGGCACTGATAGCATCGATTTGCACTATTGCTATTATCAGTCAGACGTCTGTAGGTCTCACAAAACTGTTGCAGAAAAGTGTTTTATGACGTCAATATCGCAAAGCCCCTTTGATATTATAAGCAGCTTTTGTGAAAGTGACGTCACATATTGTTATGAATTTCTATATTGGATTGTCAGCTTTCCTACTTTCATTCAAATATATTCTCTTGAAGGGATTTTAAAGAGGGTTTCTAATTTACAAATATGTTTTATCACATAACACCCTTTGCGATTAGTGACGTCATCAAAAACTTAGTTTTAGAGGAATTACAGGAACCACAGACGTCTGATCGAAAATTGGAATGAGGTAAATTGATGCTATCAGTGTCCCTTGTAAAATTTTTTTTAGAAAACCTCTTTACAGTTCCATTAAGAACATGACATGTATAGTAATATACAAGCTCCAATGGAACCTTAGATATTGCAGGGACATAATGTAACAAATACTTTTCGAGCAAATATTCATGAATAATTTCCAATATTAAGTTCTTCTTACCTTGAAAAAAGTATGATTGGATCGAAATCATTATGAGATATAGCTTCTAACTGTACTAATAATTCTTGAACACATTTATATAAAGCTCTTGATTTCGTTGCTGAACTCGTAGCCAAATTCAATGTTATTGCATTTATTTGCTGCTCGGGGCGTCCCTGCAAAAATATACATTATATAAGGAATCTTGATTGTGTTCATGAACGCCAGACGTGATTACAGAATAAATTACTTATTATATGTATAAACTACGCCAATTCTGTTTAAAAAGGAGAAAGGTTTGTCTAAAACTAGCGGCGGAAGTATCGCTGATTGGCATTAAAAATTAATGGTCCATTCAAAATACAGCAAGCAGATTTGTACAATTAAACCTTCTTAAGCTGTGTGTGATTAAACCGTTGAATATTTTTATGTTGATTTATGAAAAAAGAGGTTGGAAGACATATTCCTCGTGCAGTTTAAAGTATTTCACTCTTAAAGACTCAAAAGAATATATACAAAATAGAAACATGATAATGAATGGCAATGAAAAAAACAACAACTATAATTCATATGTTACAAAAAAAACTTTTTAAAGAGTCAAACTAAAAATTTATAAATTCAGTTCTAAAATATTACCTGTACGAAAGAAATTGTGACGCATGTGTTTTTTAGATCATCATTTATGAGATTCTCTGATGTAGCTGTAACAACGCAATCGTTATACAATCTTTCAGATCCGACCTGTGGACACACATCATCTTTAAACTGTATTGGAATTTAGATTAATTTAATGCATAATATCGCCATTTCAAAACCATGATCTACTAAACATCTTCAAAACATGTTGAATAACAATGGACATATTCACAATGTCAAGCTATAACGAACTTCGTCTAAACCCTTGACTGCAATAGCCACTATTCTTGTATCACATTAGTTTGTAAATGCAGTAATTTAATTGGATTGTACGCTAGCAAAAACAGCCAATCAGATATCCCGATGTTTCTGTCGCCTGCACGCTATTCGTCGAATTCATCGAACGATACATAAAAGGTGGCTTATGATGTCAAGGTATAAGAGGATGGTAAATGGGTAAATTGTTAATCATGGTCATTTTTATTTCTATATGAAGTAAAAACTAAAGAATTATGCATATTAAGATTCCTACCGTACTATCTAAAATAAACACGACAACTGGAATCTGTGTTTTATATACTGCCTTCCAAACATCACTTGTGGGAACTTTATGAAGATCTTCAAATAAAATACTGTTTTCACAGGTGTAAGACTGAAGACAAATTAACAAATTGGTTAACAGATTAACAAGAATTGTGTTTATTAACACATTAACCTCCATGTGTTATCTTACCATTGACTTACGAATACTATCCAGTTGGGGTTTGCACGTTTGCACTAGTTCGCTCGTCTGGATCCATTCGCAAGTTATATAAGGTGTAACAAACTAGATATGTTTCTAATACAAAGATTGTCAGTATTCAGAAATCGGATTCCAAAGGTTACTTAAAGTCTTTCAATTCTGAAAGGGATAGCTTCACCATTTCTATTTCTATATATTATGTCTTTTCTACATATGACAGTGTCTCAAGAAAAGACGAGTCGTCATTATAACATTCATAGTGAATATTACTGAACACACATTTGAAGACTCAAATTTCAATGGTGAGCTGCGAACACTATTACTGATTACCTTAGCTAAAACAATCCCGTTTCTTTTATCAAACCTAATAACATGTCCACTATCTCTAAGTGTGATGTAGTCGTAAGAACTAATTTGGTTTCAAACGGACCCGAATTCTAAAGATATAAGACAATACCTACCGAATATCTATATAAATGGGTTTTGTCACTTATTATTTGTTTGTTTTGTTCGGCTGCCACTGAAAAGTAGAAAGAACGCATAAAATATATAAAGCAGTTATGTTCTATTTATATTTAACTTTTGTTACAGTAAGAAACAAGCCCGCCCTTTGATGTACCCCCCCCCCCCCCCCAAAAAAAAAAACAAAAAAAAAACAACCCTTCAGATACGACTAGTGGGGTCAAATAAGACTAAAAACAAGTGAGATCAAAAATAGGGATCAGATGCGTCGGTCTGGATAAGAAACTGTACCCTATGTAAAGCTATTTCAAAAAGTCGTACAAACGTTGGTGAATACCTGTTGGTGTAGCTGAGACTGAGATTAAAAGTATGAGGGGGGTAAAAATTGACTCATCATAGTTACCTTCATTACACTGTACTGATTTCAAATAATCGAACTGTTGTTTCAATGTGGAATTTCCCATTTTAAAGGAAACATTACTGGCACCATACTCAAATCTATCTTTATTCATAGCAGTATCTCCTCTTTTAATTCCTTCTATAATAGCTTCATGTATAAACTGTAGCTGAGACTGAAATTGTAAGTATAAGGTGGTTAAAAAATAGACTCAGCATAGTTCATTTTGAATCTAAAACAAATGGTAATACATGTAGTTCAATGTTGGTTCGAGCGAATTCACTTTGTCCACAAAGATATTTAAGTGGTCTGTTCACGTCTGCCCTTTCGAACTGTATCACTGACATGGGGAACTGGGTTGAACAACAGCGGCTGCAGAACTGCCTATAGAGTGGTGCCACTTAATCCCCCCCCCCCCCCCTCATCGGAGCTGCAACTAGGGTTGGATAAATCCATGCCAAGATTAAACTCTTCAGGTTACAGAGCAACTACTTACATCTGTTTGAACCATTCCTTTTCTTTGTTCTCTTAAATTTTTGACACATTCCAAAATATCTACTTTCCCAATATCATTATATCGTTTTAAACAGTAATCTATAGCAATATAGGTACCAGTTCTACCTACACCAGCACTGTACAGAGAGAAAAAAAAACATTTTACATTTTGTTGCTACAAGAATTTGGTTGTATATTCGAATAAACACTAATGAGCAGATAGCTACAGCATGTAAAGACGAGGTACGGTGTCCGATGCGGGATTTTTGATACAGTAGAAAATTATAAGTAATGTACGAAAATCGCATAATTTCTTCAAAAATAAATATAAACTAGAAATTTATTTTCCTATCTCTATAGATATCTTTTATATATGAGGGAGTTCCAAAAAAGACGTCTCTGTACACACATAAATTTAGAGGCTCGAATTTGGACTGTGAGCTGTGAACACTATTACTGATTGACTTAGCTAAAAAAGAAATCCCCATTTCTGAGACTAAAGTATGATTTATAAAAAAAAAATGGTGCACTTGTCCCTTTAAGTTTGAAAGATTTTCTTGTGAGTGATAAGCTGGTCACACATTAACACAGTTTCTTATATTATGTATCATGTGAATACCTACCTACAATGTACGAGTACAGGTTTGGTTGAATTGGGAATATATCTATTAACTGTATATTGGAAATCTAACATATCTTGTATATCTGGTACACCATGATCTGGCCAGCTGATATAGTGAAAATGACAAAACTCGTGTGTTGTACCATCCTTGAAATAAAAGTAAAGAAAATCAGCGAAAGTTATCAGGGTATAATACCAATAAAAAGTGAAAACTGTGAAAACTTGGAAAGAAATAACAGTTTTTCTTAAGAATAACAACTAAGATTGTCCCAATCTTTAAGCATTGATCTTTCCAGAATAAACCTGTATCTATGTACAGCTTGGTCGACGACAACCATTTGTTCGACGTAACGAAGATAATGACGTCATGTAAAAATTCCAACGCTTTAACCGACTGTGCTACAGTCCGTGGTAAAATCAGGTTTCAGAAATCACATAAGAAATTATCATCCTCGTAGAGTATATAAATATAGAAAATATCAATACCTTTTCCATAGTGATGTATCGTTTAGTATAATTGGCTCGTATTTTCTCCTTCTTCAACGTTAGTTTAATATCACCAAATGTTTCTGTACCATGTTCAGGCCAATATCGTATACATTTAGTCTGAAAAGATTCCATCAGAAATGACATGACAATTTCCAAAATTCTTAGCTGCAATTTTTAAAGGAAACTGATATGGGTTGAAGACTAAAACTTAATTTTTATGGACTGTATTTTTTACAATATGTTTTAAATAAATTAAAGGTAAATTACCTCTTATAGATAGACTAACAAGTTGAAATTTTTATACTTGGTTAGTGGCCCTACCTGATGTCATAACTATACAACAGAACCCCTCTATAATCCATACAACTAATTAATTCATGAAATATGCTTAGAAGCGTTTCTTCAATAATTATTTAGCTTAATTGATATATCGTGTGATATAGAGATTCTATTCTTTAGTCATGGCACCTGGTAAGTCCAATTGATGAATATATACACTTGTTAACCATAAATTTTATGTCCATTCTAAGCGGTGGTATTCCTTTTAAAGTAACAAAATTTACCTTTCCACCTTCAAATTCTCTTGTTACCATGACAACTTTTTCACATTTCATATCCCAAATCATTCTAACAAAATCATTGATAGTTACCGCAGTAGAACCTGAAAACAAATTCTCAATATCAATTCAAAAAGCAAATATTTATTCCTTTAACACAGTCTTTAAAACGCACCGGAGTGCGCCCGAAAATGACACAGTGTAATACGCCGAGTTGTCCAAGAAAGTCAAAGCACTTTGTATCTACAATAAACGACGTCAGCCTTCAAAAATAATTCACTGGGTCCACTTTGATGAATATCATCACATGGACAGGTAACTAGTCTCACGTGACATTTTGATTGCGATTTCATTGGCTAACACCTATCGGAATACGCAGAGCGTTAACGCTTAAAACCCCTTCGGAGGTTAAAAGCGTATTACGCAACGTCGACAGAGACAAGATTGAAGGATTTCTCGGCGTTTTCGCGTTGTGTATTACGTAGCGTGAAAACGCTCACGAGAACGAATGGAAACAAGCCTGAACTCTTCCTGTTGATAGTCACCAACAATCTCATAGAGTTTTGTGCCACCATCTTTATTTTTTATTAGTGTCAGAGAAAGGCATAATGTATATTGAGTATTATAGTTTATTTACCTTGAGCAGCGATAAACTTCTTTCCGTCGTAACCCTGAAATAAAAATAAAAACTCCCTCTTAAAAACAAAATTTATGTGAAATAAAACTGCATTACGATAAAATTTCGAAATAGGAAATCTTGTTCTTTTCCTTGCATTTTAGAGAGAGTAAATGTAAGAAACTATCTCCAAGTCCATTGGACAAATAGGCATTAAAGGGACAAGTGGGCAATTTTGTGAGGTTGATTTGAGTCTTGAATATCTGTGAATAGTCTTCAGAAGAACAAAAAATGTACGAAAATCATATAATGCCTTAAAAAAAATGTCTCAAACCAGGAATTTATTTTCCTTTTTCTATATAATGTCTTTTCTATATATAGAAGTGTCTAAAGAAAAGACGAGGACTCGTCTTTTTCACTTTCAAACGCGGATAATTCTGGACGCACATGGATTTGAAGGTTTAGATTTCGATGGTGTGCTGTGAACACCGTTACTGATTGGCTTGAGAGTAAGGTTCGATATTGGTTTAAAAAAAATGGAGCAACCGTCCCTTTAAATTTAGTTACTTACATTCATATAATTAGCATTGATATAATCTGAATGAGGGACACCAAGTAGTTTCTGTAATATTACTCTTGTCTTATCATCTGTAATTTAATTCTGATAGTATTATACTATTCGACAATTTTCAGCAGTTTCCGAAAACTGAATATGTTGTAGAGCGTGGACCGTGTGATTTAACACATGGTACGAACAGATAGGTATGGTCTGTTAATCAATTTGTTATACAACGTTTAATTTATTTTGATAATAACCTTGATTCGATTTGCAAATTATGCTCAATCGAAACTTTCTTGAAAGTAAGGATCAGATGATGGTCGTGGTTTCTAATCCCAGTCGGCATGTAAAAGTCTGATGACCTTGAATAAAAAAATCCGTACAAGCAAGACAATCCCGTAAATCAGATTCTGGTCCAAAGTATGGCAAAATAAGTCATCTTTCCACATTGTTCCAGTCTACCTATAGTTGTAAATGGGTATGGATAATCTGAGAATGAATTTGTACTTTGTATTGCTGAATAAATATTATTACATACAGACATTACTTGCTTCGTAAAATGTAAAAATTTACAGAAAATATCAATAATCTTACAAGGGTAATAGCCTTTAAATCGATTCTTCTTGCGGTTCTCTGGTATATGTGATACATCGTAACTTGAGGTAAAATCATCGAACAGTGCCTATTGGAATATCACGAAAAGATAGAAGTAAGACCACTATTAAATAATATCTGGGCTATATGTAAAATATTATGGGGTACTAAAAGAGTGGCCCGGCCTAGACCCTTCCCCTCCTCCACTTTCAAATCTTTTATCATTTTGCATAGTGAAAGAATGAACAATTTTGTAGCCCCTGCTTGGCCCACCTCGCCTAATGTTTCATAGAAATGCCACTGTACAGAAAACTGTGCCTGATTGTACACATCTTCACAATTTTACGAACTCTTATACCTTGACATCATTGGCACTTTACTTTTATCAACAAAGTTTCTTTAATCATGTTTTCAAACATTGAACCTCACAAGGGAGATAAATCGTATATCTAAATCTTGCCGACAGGTGTCGTCCTACTTTCAAACGAAGTGCCTAATGATATCAAGGAAATTACAAGATGTATCGTCCAGAAAATATTTCAGATTCTCATTTTAATATTTTTTATTGAAGCTTTGATATCCATTTAGTGACTTTCTATAAAACACTTTTTACCTGATACAACTCTTCAAATCCTTTACAGGGACTGGTTTTAATGACGAATTCTTCAAGTTCTCTAAGGTTAAAGTCAGAGTCATCTGGTAGAACGCTGTTATACTCAATATCAGCTATTGCCTCTTCCCCTATTGAACTATGTTCATCTTCGACATCTCTGTTTTGTACAGCTTCTATCGCCTCAACATTTTCATAGATTGGCCCTGAAGCAATCAACATTTATTTTGAAAGATTGGTCCTGAAGCAATGAAAATTCAGTTTGAAAGATTGGTCCTGAAGCATTGAAAATTCATTTTGAAAGATTGGTTCCGAGGAAATGAAATAGGAAATTTTAGGAAATAAAAATTTATTTGAAAGATTGGTCCTGAAACAACTTTTAACAATAAATTTAGCATAAAAGTTCAATCATACCTGTTACTGATCCGGAACGAGCAACATGCGAATAATCAACATAGAAAGATTTCGTACACGATTCACCTTCTCTTGGCTTTCTGAGTTTTCTCCTGAAAGAAATAAGTTATTCAGATGGTATATATATATACACATAGTATACGACGTAACGAACGTATAATTTGACCTTTAGGTAGGCTACTAGCTACCTGCCAGTAGCTAGGCCAAGCCCCTTCTAAGAAAATGTTGACCCCACCCCCTCGAAAAAATTTAGATGACTTATATGACTTGTTGAGTTGCTATAGTTGAGCCCCCCTTCAAAAAATCCCCCCCCCCTCGAGACCCTGGGCTAGCTACGGGTCTGAGGCTACTACAATGTGTAATTGATCTTTGCTATTCTTTGCAATCACTTGATGTTTGGTTTGGATAAGAAATTACTTACTTCTGGAGAGATTTAAGATATTACTTACTCCTGGTGAAATTTTAGAAATTACTTACTTCTGGAGAGATTTAAGATATTACTTACTTCTGGTGAGATTTAAGAAATTACTTAATTATGGAGAGATTTGGGAAGGGCCCTCTGATAAAGAATATGAGCTAGTGTGTCTCTAGTTTAGTAAGTGTAGGAGAACCACATCACAAATTAAGTTAGGAATTAGGCTACATGTAGAATTCTTTTCGTCGGCTGTTTCAGCCAAATGCTCTACTAATATGTTGAGTTCAATTTATAAACTCTCTCCAAAATTATAGACCTAATCACAAACAAATAAATTTATTATCTTTTCATATAGAAGAAATGAAATGCAATGGAGTTTTATGTTCTACTGTTCTCTATCTTTAGATAGATTAGGACATGAAGAAAAATCACTTACAAGACAAGAAAAACAACAATAACAATGATGATAAGAACAACACATGTTGATACAGCAGCTACTATAGTTGATTTGGAGTCTGAAACCAAATATAAAACCTTTTATATACATCCTAATCAAAATCAAGTTGATAGAAAGTTTTGATGTTGATTGGTAAAGATTTTCAGATAAGACGCTCTGGGCACCTTAGAGTATGTATACACAGATTGACTTTAAAGTGATTGTAAAGAGGTTTTCTAAATTCTTTATGTGTATCGGGGACACTGATAGCATCAATTTGCACCAATTTTATTATTGATGTAACAACTACTTCCAATTAACTTATATGGTAACGTTTTAATTTGAGAATAATCCAAATAGAGTCTGGAACATCATCATGTCGTATTACACATTCGGGAACTCTCTTGAACTTGGAATCAAGTGGAACCTCAAACCACAGGAGAAACCCTAGACCTCCCTGTCAGCCCCTCCGACCGGCTTCACTGACTGCAGGAAACCGAGAAATTGGAAAGCATAATCTCGACCCATGCCGATATTGAACCCTGGAGCTCCAGGTTAGAACGTAATACTCATTGACCAACCGCGGCTAATAATCCTTGACCCTAAAGATGTAAGGGCCAATATAAAATGATAAACCTACCTGTACCAGTAATGGCTTTCTTCATAACAGTACAGTCAGTTCCTTGATATCCATCCTGACAATCACATGCTCCATCTATATTATTACACTGATCTTCTGATTGACAAAATCTTGCTGAACAATTTGATGAACAATTATACCCATAGAATCCTTCATCACATTCTACATAAAGTTAAAGATACATGATATGATATGAACCATCAATTCAATTGAAGCTGTTATTAAGAACCATAGAGCCCTCTTCCTCTGGGGTGTTAGGTCCGCCCTATTTCTCTGAGGTGTTCCCTCCGAGATTTTAGAACCCTCCGAGAATTCTCTTCCGAGGTATAGGACAGCCTCTTCATCTGGGCTGTAAGAATCGCCCTGTCCCTCTAAGATGTTAGGACACCCCCCCCCCCTCTGAGGTGTTAGGGCCACCCTTTCCTCTAATGTGTTAGGGCCGCCCTTCTCCTCTAAAGTATTAGGACCACTCTGTCCCTCTGAGGGTTTAGGACCAGGTTTCCTCATCTTCTGAGGTGTCAGGACAGCCCTTTTTCTCTAAGGTGTTAGGACCGCTCTGTCCCTCTGAAGTGTAAGGACCTCCCTGTCCCTCTGAGGCGCCAGGTCCCTCATCTTCAGAGGTGTCAGGACAGCCCTTTTTCTCTAAGAAGTAAGGAACTTTTTTTTGAGGTGTTAAACTACACTTTTACCAAGCTTTAAATTCTTTGATAGGTTGCAGAACTAAAACGATATTATTACCATAGGAACAATCAATTGACTGAAAACCTGGTTGACATCCATCAATACATTCTCCTGTTTTACTGTTACAGTTTAAATTATCATTACATTTTCTATCTGAACATTTCTTACTGCAGCCTCTTCCATACAAACCAGTCGCACATTCTGAAACAAATTGAAAATTGAAGTTTAAAAAAATCCTAGAATGAAAATGACGTCTTAGATATCTTAGAATGAAGTCTAACATATCTTAAAATAAAGTCTTATATATCTTAATATAAAGTCTAAGATATCCTAAAATACAATCTAAGATATTCTAAAATAAAGTCTAAGATATCCTAAAATACAATCTAAGATATTCTAAAATAAAGTCTAAAATATCCTAAAATACAATCTAAGATATTCTAAAATAAAGTCTAAGATATCCTAAAATACAATCTAAGATATTCTAAAATAAAGTCTAAGATATCCTAAAATACAGTCTAAGATATTCTAAAATAAAGTCTAAGATATCCTAAAATACAGTCTAATATATCCTAAAATAAAGTCTAAGATATCTTAAAATACAATCTAAGATATCCTAAAATAAAGTCTAAGATATCCTAAAATACAATCTAAGATATCCTAAAATAAAGTCTAAGATATCCTAAAATACAATCTAAGATATTCTAAAATAAAGTCTAAGATATCCTAAAATACAATCTAAGATATCCTAAAATAAAGTCTTATATATCCTAAAATACAGTCTAAGATATCCTAAAATAAAGTCTTATATATCCTAAAATAAAGTCTAAGATATCCTAAAATAAAGTCTAAGATATCCTAAAATACAGTCTAAGATATTCTAAAACAAAGTCTAATATATCCTAAAATACAGTCTTAGATATTCTAGAATAAAGTCTAAGTTATCCTAGAATAAAGTCTAAGATATTCTAAAACAAAGTCTAAGATATCCTAAAATAAAGTCTAAGATATCCTAAAATACAGTCTAAGATATTCTAAAATAAAGTCTAAGATATTCTAAAATAAAAGCTAAGATATCTTAAAATACAATCTAAGATATCCTAAAATAAAGTCTAAGATATCCTAAAATACAGTCTAAGATATTCTAAAACAAAGTCTAATATATCCTAAAATACAGTCTTAGATATTCTAGAATAAAGTCTAAGTTATCCTAAAATAAAGTCTAAGATATCCTACAATCTTAAAATTAAGTCTTAGATAACACAAAATACAGCCTAAGATATCCTGTACAATTAAAAAATCTGGCTAGATTTGTTTGAAATTGGAGATATTAATACAAAAAATGAATTTCTTCTTTATGAACGATTTAAGCCTTGGATTTAATTAATATGAATTTCTGAAGTAGAAGCACTCGGTTACCTTGTTTACAGTCAACTGAAATATAACCATCTTTACAACTGCCTTCACAACTACCATTAATATTATTACATGGTGATGTTTTTACTAAACAATTTCTTTCTGAACAATTTTCTAAACATTGATCACCATATGTTCCCTTCGTACAAGCTAAAGAATTGTTTATAAGGTTTAGTTTTGTCACTTCAGTTATTGGTTTGTGTTATCTCATGATAAGATCTTGTATCAAAAAGGTTACTGAAAAGCGGTAAACTTACCAAAGGATGCAACACAAAAAATTCGGTCTTCGGCGCTCATAAAAGAAAAAAATGTTGAAATATCATAGAATTTCACAAAAGATAGCTACATTGCTCTCAAAATAACGATCCATTGATATTCTACCTTATTGCGTGAAATCGATTTGTCTTGGCAAACGTCATCAAATGTATTTACCCTCCGGAACATGATCGTTGTATATTACCTTGAGTACAATCTAGAATTGTTGGACTATAACCCACAGAACATCCACCAGTACATTCTCCTGTCACATGATCACACATTGAATTCTTCAGACATTTTCTATTATTACAATTCTTCTGACAACCAGCACCATAAAAACCATCAGGACATTCTAATGTATAAAACAAAAAAGTATATGTAAAACGTTTATCAATGAATTCTATCACATGGATTTCCTCAAATTTGATGATTACTTTGCAAGCTCAAGAATCTTATTTTAACCTGATTTACTTACCTACTGTACAATCATCTTCTTTATAACCTGGTTTACTTACCTACTGTATAACCATGTTCTATATAACCTGGTTTACTTACCTACTGTACAATCATCTTCTCTATAACCTGGTTTACTTACCTACTGTATAACCATGTTCTATATAACCTGGTTTACTTACCTACTGTACAATCATCTTCTTTATAACCTGGTTTACTTACCTACTGTACAATCATCTTCTTTATAACCTGGTTTACTTACCTACTGTATAACCATGTTCTATATAACCTGGTTTACTTACCTACTGTACAATCATCTTCTTCATAACCGTGTTTACTTACATACTGTACAATCATCTTCTCTATAACCTGGTTTACTTACCTCGAGTACAATCATCTTCTTTATAACCTGGTTTACTTACCTACTGTACAGTCATCTCCTCTATAACCTGGTTTACTTACCCACTGTACAATCATCTTCTCTATATCCTGGTTTACTTACCTACTGTACAATCATCTTGTTTATAACCTGGTTTACTTACCTAGAGTACAATCATCTCCTCTATAACATGGTTTACTTGCCTTGCCTACTGTATAGTCATCTCCTCTATAACCTGGTTTTCTTACCTCGAGTACAATCACCTCCTCTATAACATGGTTTACTTGCCTTGCCTACTGTATAGTCATCTCCTCTATAACCTGGTTTACTTACGTACTGTACAATCATCTACTCTATAACCTGGTTTACTTACCTACAGTACAATCATCTTCTTTACAGCCTGGTTTACTTACCTACTGTACAATCATCTTCTTTATAACCTGGTTTACCTACCCACTGTACAATCATCTTCTCTATATCCCGGTTTACTTACCTACTGTACAATCATCTACACTATAACCTAGTTTCCTTACCTAATGTACAATCATCTTTTTTACAACCCGGTTTACTTACCTACTGTACATTCATCTTCTTTATAACCTGGTTTACTTACCCACTGTACAATCATCTTCTATTTATCTTGGTTTTCTTACCTACTGTGCAATCATCTATTATATAACCTGGTTTACTTACCTACTGTACCATCTTCTCCTCTATGACCTGGTTTATTTCCCTACAGTACAATCATCTACTCTATAACCTAGTTCACTTACCTACTGTACAATCATCTTCTCTATAACCTGGTTTACTTACCTACTGTACAAATATCTTCTTTATAACCTGGTTTACTTACCTACCGTACAGTCATCTTCTCTATAACCTGGTTTACTTACCTCGAGCACAATCATCTTCTTTATAACCTGGTTTACTTACCTACTGTACAGTCATCTCCTCTATAACCTGGTTTACTTACCTCGAGTACAATCATCTTTTTTATAACCTGGTTTACTTACCTACTGTACAATCATCTTCTTTATAACCTGGTTTACTTACCTACTGTACAGTCATTTTCTTTATAACCTGGTTTACTTACCTACTGTACAGTCATTTTCTCTATAACCTGGTTTACTTACCTCGAGTACAATCATCTTTTTTATAGCCTGGTTTACTTACCTCGAGTACAATCATCTTCTTTATAGCCTGGTTTACTTACCCACTGTACAGTCATCTTCTCTATAACCTGGTTTACTTACCTACTGTATAATCATCTACTCTATAACCTGGTTTACTTAACTACTGTACAGACATTTTCTTTATAACCTGGTTTACTTACCCACTGTACAATCATCTTCTCTATATCCTGGTTTACTTACCCACTGTACAATCATCTTCTCTATATCCTGGTTTACTTACCTACTGTACAATCATCTTCTCTAAAACCTGGTTTACTTACCTACTGTACAATCATTTCTCTATATCTTGGTTTGCTTACCTACTGTACAATTATACACTATATAACCCGGTTTACTTACCTACTGGACAATAATCTTCTTTATAACCTGGTTTACTTACCTACTGTACAGTCATCTTCTCTATAACCTGGTTTACTTACCTAATGTACAATCATTTTCTCTATAACCTGGTTTTCTTACTAACTGCACA